CGGGTCCTCCGGGTTGCTCGCAACTCGGGGGGACCGGGCGAACCTCCTCTCGCAGGAGGTCAGGTTGCCGTCCCCTCTCACGCAGCGAGCTTATTAGGGCCGCCACCCGAAAGGCTAGCCGCGATCGGGAGCGAGGCAAGACGCGGACACGGTCGGCCTGGGCGGAGGGGTGGCACCCGAAGCTCTTTCCTTCCAGTTCGTGACGAGCCTCGACACCAGGGAATGCAGCAACCCGGCGGCACCGGGCGTCCATGCGGACAAAAAAAAAAACTCCCCAGCCCTGATGGAAACAGCTCGGGCCTACCAAGCGCAAGCGAGGGAAGCCCGGGGCCTGACCTCGAGTATCCTCTGAACACCTTTCCTTCCGACGCTCCTCCTCCCAATCCAGCGTCCCCCGCCACCGGTGCTCGGTCTCTCTTGGCATCGGCGGTGTGACTGCGGGGTCTTGCTCGCCCGGCCTTCTGAATTCCTCTAGGAAGGCTCGGGAAGGGGCGCCCGCGGTGATGGCAAAGGGACCCTTTTGCTACCCCCAACCGTCCCGCTCGCAGTGCATCAAGGAGCTGCGGGCAGAGGCGGAATACAAACCTCTCCGCAACCGGAACTGGCCGTCCGGTCGCAAAAAACCCTCCCTTGAGCGGGGCGCCCACGGGCCCCGGCACCTAATAAAAAACTGGGACCCCACTCCTGACGATGGATATCTTGGAACCTGGCTCGATGAAGAACGCAGCGAAATGCGATACGTAATGCGAATTGCAAAAACTCCGTGAATCATCGAAACTTTGAACGCATGTTGCGCCCGAGGCCTCGGCCGAGGGCACGTCTGCTTGAACGCCACACACATCCAGGTGGAACCTCGCATCCGAACCCACCCCTCCGCACGCAGCTAAGTGCGGCAGGGGAAACGGGACGGGAAAGCAATGCGGGGCAGACAAGGGGCGCTCGGGTTGGTGTGGGCTCCGGCCCCCCCTTTCTCCGAGACAATCGCTCGTACCTGGGAAAACGAGATGGCCGTCGCAACCCGTGCGCTCCGGGGCACAAATGGGGGGCAGTCGGTTGAAATCGCAGGGCCGCATTAGCCCGTCTCCGCTCCTCTCGACCCCAGTGCAGATCCCGGGCGCCACCCGGGAGGACGCGAGTGGGACGAGCGAGATGAGGCGGGCGGCGACCCCGCTGGGCTCGGCGAACCCAGCCGGCCAACGGACTCCGTCCGGACCTCCCAGCAGGTGGGGGGCCGGTCACTCGGTCCCTCTTTTCTCTCCCGAGACGGTCGCGAAAAGGTTCGGGAGCCGGGGGCGTGGCAACCCCCGGTCTCCCCCTCCAAAGTAGCGCACAAGAACGGGCGAGAGGCGGACGGGGCTCGTACAAAAATGGTCGGACGGGGAGGAACCGGGCAAACCCCAAACGATGGCTTCAAGTCAGGCGAGACCACCCGCTGAATTTAAGCATATTACTAAGCGGAGGAAAAGAAAACAACCGTGATTCCTTTGGTAGCGGCGAGCGACCAAGGAAAAGCCCAGGCTTGAAATCCGAGGGCCCCCGGCCCTCCGAATTGTAGTCTGAAAAGGAAGCGTTCTCTGTGACGGGCGCCGCCTTAAGTCCACTGGAAAGTGGCGGCAGAGAGGGTGACACCCCCGTCGGGCGACGACCCGTCACTCCACGAGACGCATCCGAAGAGTCGGGTTGCTTGGGAGTGCAGCCCCAACATGGGTGGTAAGCTCCATCCAAGGCTAAATACGGCCAGGTTTCCGATAGCGAACAAGTACCGCGAGGGAAAGATGAAAAGAACTTTGGAAAGAGAGTAAAAAGTGCTTGAAATCGTCAGGAGGATAAGCGCATGAGCCCAAGCAAACCTGCGGGCCCCGTTCGCGCGGGGCCCGGAGGTACGCAGCGCCGGTCGATGCCGCGGAAAAGGAGCTCGCTCCCACCGCGGCGGAGACCGAGGATGACCCTCACGGGTCGGCGCTGGCGAAACGGGCTGATGCGACCCGTCTTGAAACACGGACCAAGGAGGCCAACGCGGCTGCGAGCCAATGGGTTGGAAACCACAATGGCGACAGTGAAAGCGACCCGTGAGAAGGCGGCCTCGTGCTGCCCGCACCACGGACCGCCCCGGGGGCCTCGGCGCCCGGGGTGCGTTGAGTAGTCGCGTTGGGACCCGAAAGATGGTGAACTATGCCTGAGCAGGGCGAAGCCAGAGGAAACTCTGGTGGAGGCCCGCAGCGCTACTGACGTGCAAATCGTTCGTCAGACTTGGGTATAGGGGCGAAAGACTAATCGAACCATCTGGTAGCTGGTTCCCTCCGAAGTTTCCCTCAGGATAGCTGGTGCTCGATACGTGGTTACGTCTGGTAAAGCGAATGATTGGCGGGCTCGGGGGAGAAGCTCCCTCGACCGACTCTCAAACTTTAAACGGGCGAGGAGGGCCGCCATCTTAATTGTGGCTGGCTTTCAGGGGTGCTGGCTGACCCCACCAACATGAGTGCCAAGTGGGCCATTTTTG